ACAGGTTATAAAAGCCTAGCAAGCCCCTCCCTCAGCCCTTCTCTTCTTCTCCACCAACATTGAAGCATGTGATCACCTTTTCTGTTCAGGACTCAAACCATGTGGTCCTGTCCACCATTAAAACCATCTTTCCAAGCAGCCTCCATGTCTCCAGTGTCTTTTTCCCCACTTGGAGCCGAACCCAGAAGGACATTTCTTTCATCACAATAAAGGAGAATCTTTGTAGCTCAGGGTTGAAATGTAGAGTCTCTCTGGTCCTCTCTGAGCTGGGTGGTTTTCTTGCAGACATTTCATGACCCAGCTAGGTAACGTCATCAGTGCTGGCATTAGATATCTCCTAGTTAGAGAGAGGAAACGTCTGCAAGAAAACAGCCACATTCAGAGACCATCACTTTCTCAGCGTCCCGGACTGGCCCAAATTCAGGTGCCTCCAACTTGGTCCTTGTGTTGGGATGCCTCTTCCTTGAGGTTGTTCCTTCTGTCTTGTCACTTTGTGCCCTGCAAGGTGGCACCCTGACCCATCAGCCATTACCCTCCTTCATCACTCTCCCAGGCAGAAAATTCCTCCTTAGTTCAACTTCGGATCCCTCCCTGTGGAACTTCCACCCATTGCTTGTAGTTCTAACTAGAGAATAAATCCTGCCCTCCTGCCCTGAGAGATTCCTGCCTGTGGGAGGAGGTTGCCATGTCCCGCCATGTCCATCCTCCTCTCTTCCTTCTCCCTCCTCCTCCTCCTCCTCCCCCTCTCCTTCTCCCCTCCTCCTCCCTCTCCCCTCCTCTTCCTCCCTCTCCCCTCCTCCACTACCTCCTCCATCTCTCCTTTTCCCTTCCTCCTCCTCTCCTCCTTCTCCACCACCTCCTCCCTCCTCTTCCTCCTTCAGAGTCTCTGCCTTCCCAATCTGGGTTTGGGATGGTGGTGGCTTAAACAAGCCTAAAAGAATATCTAATAGATTTAACAGATTAACAGAGCTGGAAAGGATCTTTTAGGTCACCTAGTCCAACCCTCTGCCCAGGCAGAACACCCTACACCATTTCTGACAAATGGCAGTCCAGTCTCTTCTTGAAAGCCTCCAGTGATGAAGCTCCCACAACATCTGAAGGCAAATCATTGGTAGATTGTTCTCACTGTCAGAAAAGTTATCCTTATTTCTAGGTTCAATCTCTCCTTGTTCAGTTTCCATCCTTTGTTCCTTCTCTAGCCTTCAGATGCTTTGGAAAATAGATTGACCCCCTCCTCTCGGCGGCAAATATTGGACCACTGCTATCCTGTCTCCCCTGGTCCTTCTCTTCACTAGACTAGCCATGCCCAGTTCCTGCAACCGTTCTTCATACGTTTTAGACTCCAGTCCCCTAATCATCTTTGTTCCTCTTCTCTGCACTCTTTCTAGAGTCTCCACATCTTTTTATAGCGTGGTGATCAGAACTGGATGGAATGTTCTAGGTGTGATCTTACTAAGGCGTGGTATTAGTACCTCACTTGATCTTTATTGAATCCCTCTGTTAATGCAATTTAGGATTGCGTTGGCTTTTTTGGCTGCTGCTGCACACGGCTGGATCATATTTAGCTGGTTGTCTGGTTCCCCTCACAGTTACTGCTAGTAAGCCTGGTTACTCCGGGCACACAGAGAAAAAGAGATCTCGCTGGGTGAAGAGAGCAAAGGAAGGGATTATCCGCTCTGGGACTGTCAGGGGGCACCCCGTTAAGCCAGAACTCCCCCCCCCCCAAAAAGACTGTAAGGATCCCCACTTCCCACTTTCTCTACTTCTCTCTCTTGTATGAACTATCTCCTGCATAGGGTGATATCAAGAGAGACTCTGCCCGGAGACCGATGACGCTGCATAAGGGAGAATTCCCATTGGTCCCGCTGCTTCTTCTGCCAATTTTGAGAGAGAGAGAAAAAAACACTTCCTCTGTCCGCAATTCAGACCACCGATTCCGCCTCCGGGATCGAACTCCTCTGGGTTTCCCCTCTCTTGGGAGGGGGATTGTGGAGCAGCATCCATGGGCAATGCTGGAGTCCCCCTGCTGTTGCTGGTGGGGGTGCTGGCCCAGAACCCAGGAAGTGGAGGCGGGAAGAAGCCCCCTGGTAAGGAGGGGGCTCGGTGGGGGGAGGAGAGGGTCTGGGATACTGGTGGTGGAAGAAAGCAAGCGATTTTGAGGAAGGGGTCAAGAGCGAGAGACACAGCATCCTGCAGGAGTCCCAAACGCCTATGCGGTCTCCCCCTTCCACTCCACATCCCCCCCCCCCCAGGATAGAGAGTGAACACAGTGGTGGGATTCAAAATATGTCACTACTAGTTCTGTGGGCGGGGCTCTGTGGGTGTGGCAGAGGAAGGATACTGTACAATCCCCATTCCCTCCCCACCCCACTAACCTTATTTCCAACTCCCTTCTCCTGCTCAGGGCAACCAAAGAAGATCGGCTGGGAGGCAATGGGGGCGGAGCCAGCCTATTTGCCGGTTCTCTGAACTACTCAGATTTTCTGCTACCAGTTCTCCAGCACCTGTCTGAACTGGCTGAATACCCCCTTTGAGTGAACCCCTTCTTTGGAGGTGGCCCAAGTGGGAGAGCGGGTCATGGGGAAGCAACTCTGGGGCTGTCTTGCAAGCCATCCCACGTGGCTGGGCTGGAGTCGGACCTTCTGGGCCCTGAATTAAACCGGGAAGTGGCTTCGCCAAAGTTTGTTGCGTTAAACATGGTGAATCTCCAAAATTATTTGATCACGTAGTGACTGGGAGCAATGGACCCTGCAGTCCATTATGATGGCCTCCTTCGTCCCCCTCCTCCCTCCCCCTCTTCCTCTGCCTCCCTCCTCCTCCTCTTCCTCCTCCTGCTTCCCCTCCCCTCTTCCTCCTTTCTCTTCCTCCTCTTCTCCCTTCTCCCCTCCTCCCTCAGGCAAAAGAAACCAGTTCCCCGCAGCCTCTGGTTGTAGGCTTCTGGCCTCCTCTGCCCCTTCCCAGTCCCTCTGCCTCCTTTTCCCATTGGGGAGACCAAACTGGACACCCAATTCCAGCCACAGTCTGACCGGTGCAGCCCTTCCTGGGCTCCTTCAATTGTCCCTTTGTGGATGCAGCCCAAGATCACGTTGGCTCTTTTGGCCGCAACAGCACACCGATTGCTCAGGTGTCTCTGGACTCCATTATGATGGCCTCCCTCATTCTCCTCTTCATACTCCCTCTCCCCACAGTCCATTTCTTGTACCAGGAGAAGACCGCCTGTCTTTTCCCACTCGATGGGACGCAGCGGGTGCGTTACTTGGACAGGTACTTCTACGACCGGCAGGAGTTTGTCCGCTTCGACAGCCACCTCGGGAAGCATGTGGCCATCACAGAGTTGGGGAAGCTGGAGGCCAAGGAGTGGAACAGAAACAAGGTCATTCTGATGATGAAGAGGGCTGAAGTGGATCGCTTCTGCAGACACAACTACAAGGCAGCCAAGATGGGGCTTGTGATTGGCCGGAAAAGTGAGTCCGGGAGGGAAGGGCTTCCTGGGGAGGGTATTTGACAACTCGTCATGACCAACTCGTCACATCCGACTCACCACTGCCAATTTACCATGGCCAACTTGCTGCAGGACAAGATTACCGGTAATATCAAAGAAACAATGGAACAAAATCATTAAACTAAGAATGCCAAAGGNACACACACACACACACACACAGAGACATGGAGAAAGACACCCACAGACATAACTACCCACAGAGTGACACACACACAAACACACACAGAAAGAGAGAGACAGAGAGAGACAGAGAGAGAGAGACAGACAGACATAGAGAAAGACAGCCACAGACACACCCACCCACAGAGTGACAGAGAGAGAGAGAACAGACAAGCAGAGAGAGACACACAGACAGAGACAGAGTGAGTGAGCGAGCGAGAGAGAGAGAGGCAGACAGACAGACAGAGACACATAGAGAAAGACACCCACAGACACCCACAGACACACCCACCCACAGAGTGACTGACACACACACACACACACACACACACACACACTGAAAGAGAAAGAGACAGAAAGAGAGAGAGGGAAACACACAGGGAGACAGAGAGAGAGACAGACAGAGAGAGAGAGACACACACACAGAAAGACAGAAACACAGACAGACACAGAGAGAGACATACATACAGAGAGAGAGAGACACAGAGAAAGAGAGAAAGAGACAGAAAGAGAGAGACACACACAGAAAGACATACACACACAGGCAGACAGAGAGAGAGAGACACACAGAGAGACAGACACACAGACAGACAGAGAGACAGAGACACACAGACACATTAAAAGAAACAGAAAGAAAGAGAGAGAGAGAGACAGACAGACAGACAGAGAGACACACAGAGAATGAGAGCGAGAGACAGAAAGAGAGAGAGACACACACAGAAAGACATACACACACACAGGCAGAAGAGAGAGAGACACAGAGAGACAGACACACACACAGAAAGAAAGAGAAACAGAAAGACACACACACAGAGACAGAGAGAGAGACAGAGAGAGACACACATACACAAAGAAAGAAAGAAAGAAAGAAAGAAAGAAAGAAAGAGACAGAAAGAGAGAGACACAGAGAGAGAGACACACACACACAGAAAGAGAGAGAGAGAGAGAGAGAGGATAGATAAAACATCAACACATGATGAAAGTTCTTAATGCAGATTTATGTTAGTTTGAAAAAAACCTCCAAGATTCAGGAAATTAAAAACAAAACTAATTTAAACCACAAAGAACTCCAAACCTCCCCCATATTCAGGAAATATAACAAAAGTAGCTTTAAAAAAACCCCCCAAAAGTCTAAACTACCTTACAAAAACAACTGCAACACCAATTAAAATGTTTTTGATTAAGAAGAGAAGTTGAGCCTCTTTCCAAAATTCANTTAGGTTTAGGGGGGTTAGGTTTAGGTTTAGGGGTTAATTTTAGGTTTAGGGTTTACAGTGTGCTTCTGTCTCCGCGCTGTTGTCGCCCTGTTGACATTTAGTTGGACGTGGTTTAGTCAAGCGCGGTTTTGTGGTGGAACCATACATTATATCACCGATTCTCTATGAAGTATACACGAAAAGTTCTAAAGTATTCAATTCATATATGTACCAGTTTTTCATTGTATCATTGTTAATCTATTTTACAGCATAATTGTGTTTTCATTTAACTCCTTCAGTTAAAACATGAGTAAAACATTTCTCATTTCCAAGTTTTTTCCCCCAACCACTGATAAAACAAATCCTATATCTTATAAAATTGCTCGTCTTCTTGTTCTCTAATTTCAAATGTCAATTTACTCATTTCAGCACACTGTATGTGATGATGGGTTTTTTCTCTTTTTTTGTGTGTGTGTTGTTTGTTTAATAAAAACAAAAAATTATTTTTTAAAAAAAGCTGGGATTGAGACTCAAATGGCTGAGGGTGCCCATAGCGTTTTGCCAGCTAGATGGGACTGTAGCTGGAGGGGGGCAAGCTCACTTTATAACTGAATCAGTAGATGAGAATGGGAAAACATAAAGAGATTCTGAGTTTTATAGCGGTGCCAAGCATGGAGAGGCCCCTCCTACTTGGATAGTCTTGGACAGAAATGGAACCCTGATGTGAATTAGAGGAGGGGGCTTTTAAAGATTCAGCAGACAGTGGCCAAGGAAGAGAAAACGATCCCATAACCCTTCAGTGAGAGAAACAGAGGGCAAAGAGAGCTAGGGGCAGCAGCTCAGGATCACTCAATAGGCGAATCCAGAATCCCGAAGGAGTGCTGGGATTTGTGAGATGTATTTAGTGAGAAAGGCTCTGATGTACTCCCATCCCATAGACTGCGGTATTGAAATCCTTCCCAGGGCTAACCTTCTGAAACCCAATGACTCCACATGAGCTAGCTTCACATCTTCATAGACAAGAACTTAAATGTGGATTTATCCAACCAGCAAGGCCATGAATGGCAGCCCTGGTTTTGTTCTGGGAGAAGAAAGATGAGACTCTTTGCCTATATATTGATTATAGTGGGCTAAACACAGTGCATAGAAAATGTCTACCCACTACCCCTGATGGACATGTTGACACATTTAGCCAAAGGAAAAAATTTCACTAAGTTAGACTTCCGGGAAGCTTACAAATCAGTGGTGGGATTCAGCCGGTTCGCACCAATTCAGGAGAACCGGTTGTTAACTTTCTAAGCAGTTCGGAGAAGCGGTTGTTGGAAGAAATCTCCTTTTAGTTTTTTCCCAGTTGACTGGGCTAATCCTGTAAGGAAGGCAGGAAGGAAACATTCTGGTGTTGTTTCTAGCCTAATCCCTATTGTCTTGCTTACAGAAACTGCCTCTCTGGTTAACCCTTACTACATTGTAACAGCTAAAGCAAAGCACCCATCAATGTGAGTGATGTTGAGTTGGCCATGCCCACACGGTCACATGACCACTGAGCCACGCCTACCCAGCTGGTCATGAGGACAGAGAACCGGTTGTTCAATTATTTGAATCCCACCACTGGTACGAATCAAGGAGGATGATAAATGTAAAGCTGCATTTAATTGCCCTCTGGGATGTTTTCAATTCTGGATGCCCCCTTTCGCCTACAGGGACCCCCCCCCGCCCCCACAGTAGTCATACAACTGATCAATGAGGCGCTGCATGACTTTTTGTACAAGGGAGCGTTGGTGCAATTAGATGATTATTTTAACAGAAACGACGGAGGAACATTTGAAATTGGTGTGGGCAGTCCTTAAAAGGCTCCGAGCCACTAAACTGCATGCAAAGCTTTCCAAGTGCGAATTTCACCAAGATAAAATTGATTACTTGTGTTACCACATCTCAAATGAGGGAGTGGGAATGGATCCTAGAAGAGGTAAAGGTAATATTAGAGGGGGCCCTTCCCTGCACTAGGAGGCAATTACAAAGCTGCCTGTGTTTTGCAAATTTCTACCAGCAGTTTATCCCCTCATTTGCAAAGATTGCATTGCCAATCACAAAAACACTTTTAAAAACTAAAGATGAGGGTCAGCAACTTAAGCGGACCATGGAGTGCCAAGCAGCATTTGAGAAACTCAAACGATTATTCGTGGCAAAACCTGTCCTGAAGCACCCCAACCCAGATGCTCCATTTGTAATTCAGGCTGACGTTACCGATATAGACATAGGGGCAGTGTTATTGCAAATCTGGGTACTTGGGAGACCGCCTCCTGCCGATTACCTCCTCAAGACTGATTAGATCTCATAGATTAGGCCTCCTCCGAGTGCCATCTGCCAGCCAGTGCCGGCTGGCCACTACGCGGAGGAGAGCCTTTTCAGTGGCAGCTCCGACCCTCTGGAACGATCTCCCCGTGGAGATTCGTACCCTCACCACCCTTCAGACCTTCCGCGCAGCCCTCAAGAACTGGCTATCCTGCCAGGCCTGGGGGTAGAGATTGATCTGCCCCCACCCGAATGTTGGATGAATGTTGTTTACTTTTTAATTATATGTAATGTTATATGTTATTGTCTGTATCCCCCTCCCTATGAGTTGTTAGCCGCCCTGAGTCCCCTCAGGGAAAAGGGCGGCCTATAAATAAACCAATTCAATTCAATTCAATTCAATTCAATTCAAAAGAATGTCCGGAAGTTGCAACATTCATGCAGATACACCTCTAAGAAAATCACAGAGACTGAACAGAGGTTGGTGATATAGGAGAAGGAGGCGTATGCAATGTGGGCCCCGTGACCCGACAAATGCGCACACGACAAAAGCGCGCCGACAAAACCGCACCCACAAAAGCACGATTTAAGTTAAGGTAAGGGAAGTGTGATTTAAGTTAAGGTAAGGTTTAGGTTCAGGATTAGGTTTAGGTTTAGGGTTAGGGTTAGGGTTAGGGTTAGGGTTAGGGTTAGGGTTAGGGTTTATTAGTTCTTTGTTGAAGGTGCACTTTTATCGGCGTGCTTCTGCTCTCATTTGTGGGCGCGATTTCAAACTCGTGGTTTTCTCGCCGCGGTTTCGTCGGCACACTTTTGTCGAGCGCGCATTTGTTGGTGAACCGGTGGGCCCTACTTACTTGGTGGCATTTCGTGGAAGGAGCAAGGGCCCTGTTTGAAGTATGGACTGACCATAAAAATCTGGAATCCCTGAGAACTTTGTGCAGGCTATATTAATTAACCCAGTCACGGTACAACTTGCCCAAGAACCTTACGCGCATTCACCCTGTGTTTCACTGCAGTTTGTTGAAACCAGAAACCGTGTCAGCCCTTTGCCCTTTACCTGACCCTCCTCCTGTACCCACTCTGATGGAAGGGGAGTAGCATTTTGAAGTTAAAGTGACTTTTGACCATTTTCCACACTTATGGCCATTGCAGCGTCCCCATGGTCACGTGATCAAAATTCATATTTGCGACAGTTCCTGTGTCCCAGGGGCATGTGATCACTTTTTGCAATCTTCTGTCAAACAAGGTCAATGGGGAAGCTGGTTTTACTTAATAAACACGTTACTAACTCAAGTGACTCACTTAACAACTGTGGCAAGAAAGGTTGTAAAATGAGGCAAAATTCACTTAATGTCGGACTCCAAAAAATGTTTGGATCAATTGTGGTTGTAAGTTAATTGCTACCTGTCAATAGTGGTATTCAAAAACGTTTTCTCCGTTACATGTGGGGATGGCTTGGTGGGCGTGGCTTGGTGGGCGTGGCTTGGTGGGTGTGGCTTGGTGGGCGTGGCTTGGTGGGCGTGGCAGAGGAAGGATACTGTAAAATCTCCATCCCCTCCCGACTCCAGGGGAAGGTTACTGCAAAGTCCCCATTCCCTCCCGATCAGCTGGGACTCAGGAGGCAAAGAATAGATGGGGCCACAGTCAGAAGTGGTATTTACCGGTTCTTCAAACTGCTCAAAATTTCCGCTATTGGTTGTCCAGAACTGGCCAGAGCCTGCTGAATATCACCTCTGCTACCTCTGTATTGGTCAATCAGGATCCTGCAGCAGGAATAGATACCCATATAATATGAACTGAAAGCCCAGATAATCTGGAGCTAACTGAGATGATTTCAAAAATGATAACACAAGTGGTAACATCACAATGCAGATCTCCATCTCTCTCACCCTTCTATTCCCAAATTGCCTTGTGACTTCTAGATGTTGGCTTTGGTCTTTGGTTTCCATTTCCCTCTCCCCTCCCAACAGATTATTATAAACGAAAAGAAAACACTGTCATTTTGGCAATCCCCAAATTTCCTGATTAGGCCAACGATGTGAGCCAATGTACCATATGAGTCAGGTGTTCCCATCTTTTTCAAAGCTTTTTGCTTCCCACAATAAAGGAACAAAATATAGCAAACAGGTGCATGACTGGACGATAGGATACATAACAAAAACAAGAATTTCTTTATGGTTTACGGTTTATTAGGATTTGTATGCCGCCCACTCCCTAGAGACTCTGGGCAGCTTAGATTCCAGGGACTGAGGCAAATTATCCTTAAATTTAATGTCCTACAACATCATTTTTCCATTCCACATTGTTTGTAAATACAGATACCTCCTCTCTGATGCTGGGAGTTTTTTTTTTTGATGGCTCAAAATTACAGGAGAATGACTCAGACAGTCTGCTCTTTAAATCATGTTTTCCTTATATTGTAAAAGGAAACAAACACACACACACACACACACACACACACACATCTATATCATCTACCCATCCATCCATCCATCCATCCATCCATCCATCCATCATTATCTATCTATCTATCTATCTATCTATCTATCTATCTTCTCCATCCATATCTATCTATCTATCATCTATCCTCCATCCAAATCTATCTATCTATCTATCTATCTATCTATCTATCTATCTATCTATCTATCTATCTATCTATCTATCTATCTATTTATCGATCTATCTAATTTTTGTACAGTATATTCATGCTGTGGTTTGCTGGGAATGTGTATGTTTATCTCTATCTCTATAAATCTTTATCTTTATATCATTTA